TACTTGTTAATATCAATTGTAGTTTTAAAAACAATTAAGCTAACTTTTTTTCTGTTCCGAGCAATTTAATTAATTAATTTTAAACATTCTAATTATTTTTTGTTTCATAAAATATGATTTAAAAAAACTGAGAACGTGTATTGAATTGCTACTTAGATGTGTCCTTTGTTTCTCACAAATTTCCCGAAATAGAAAATACTCTCATACTTGCGACCAAATTATGCTTAATTGCTTTTAAAGCCTGATATAATATAATTCTGAGTTTTTTGTTCTTTAGTTTGTGACTTCTAGAGTTTAAAACTCTTTTTGAGTAGAGAAGTTACTTCTTCAAGAAGTATAAAAATCTAAATTATTATATACAAAACCTTTCTGAGAACCATTGCAGACTGATAAGATATCAAATGCTATTGAAACGATATGATATCAAGAATCAAAACGCTTTCATCTATCTTTTATATTTGGCTATATTTGTCATTTTCCATTTATACAGTGAAAACCGACTTTTTTCATTAAAAAACCGGTTTTCGAATTCCATAATTTTCGCCAAAAAACCGGTTTTCAAGACCGGTTTTCGAAACCCTGTTACAAATGTTTCATTTGTTCAATTATTTTCATTATAATTATTATATTTTCGGCGGGACAGGGTAAAATATTCTTATTCTTCAGGCATTCGTACTACAATGTAACCTTAAAAAAATGTATCCGATCTGCTCTTGATGTACGCCGGTACGCATTCAACGAAAGATCTCAATTCACAGACACGACTACTAATCACAATCGATCCGTATAGAAATGATTTCATCGAGAGCGAATGACGAACAGTTTGGGGGTAACGCAACTTCCGTTGCATTTTCACAAATTTACTCCTAGTCGCGCCTAAGTAGAGAAGTGTTACTTTAAAAATATTAAAAACAAAAAGAAAAAAAAACTGCATTCATGACGATTAAGTTAAATTGACTCAATCAGGCAAAATAAGTATACAACCCACATGTGTCATTTTAGTAATTGATTTTATGAAAATAAATAAATCGCATTTTTTTTATTGAGATTCAACATTTGATACACTCCGCACGGTTACAAAACCTACGTGCAAACGTACCTATGTGCATTTATTCACAAAGCGCCTTGGGCAAGTCTCCGGAGACGTGTCTCGCAACAGTGTCTATAATATAAGATTCTGCACGTAGATAAACAGACGGTCTTTGAAATAATTCGCAAAATTCAAGTACGCAAGCATAAATCTGCTACGATACAGCAATCTCTTGCCAGAACATTTATTCCCTGTGAAATGGCGTTTAGAAATCATCACGAAATAATGAAATACATAAATGTATATTCGCTTATATATAATTGAAAATGATATTATTTGTTATCCTTTACTCATTATGAAGTTTTCAATAGTTCAGGTAAAACTATAACTAGTGGTGTATGGCATCGTGCCTTAAGGCAAATTGCCGAAACTTTCCGTTTCAAAAATTATTTAAACTAGCTGTAAGTGGAATTCTGTTTTAAGGCAATTAAGGCATCGTGCCTTAAGGCAAATTGCTGGAACTTCCCGTACCAAAAATTATTATTTTTTTTTAAAACGATTAACATTTTTCAAAAAAATTTACTTCGAAAAAATAAGATTTTTGACAAACAATTAGACAAAAAATTACTTTTTTTTGAAAAAAATTTTTTTTTAAATTTTCTTTATTTTGACATATTTTGAAAGTTCTAAACTTTTTTTCAAAGCAATCGTACTGCTTTAACTGCATAAAGACAAAATATCAAACCGCGTAAGCGCTGCGTCGACGTCTAATGGGTAAACATTGGTACGGAACCCATAGGAATGTAAACAAAATTTATACTTATTGTTAAAATCTCTATAAAATATCTGATAATTTGATGTGCATATGTCTAATGACCATTTTTGACCGCCAAATGGCATTTTTTTTTTACTTTTTTCGTTAGATCTCCGAAACCGCTAAACCTGCCCTTATGAAAATTTGATCAAATCTTCATCTTGTCAATACAAGTAAAATGTTTTTTGAATTATTAAAATCGGACGCTCCGTTCTATTAAAAACTGAAGTACCGTTTTTGGCGTTTTTTGCCCCATATCTTCGGAACGGCAAGACCTACCTCCGCCAAAAACTAATTAGCACGTCTCCTTATCAATACGGATCGAATGTTTTTTTAAATTATTCAAATTGCTTCATCCGTGTTCCCGAAATCGTCGACGAAAATTTGTATCCGCACACACATACATACACGCACACGCACACACACACATACACACACACACACATACATCCATTTTTTCTAAGGTATGCCAAAATATTCAGAAATCTCTGAAACGTAAAGATATATAAACATTTTCATTTTTGATTTTTTTGCGATTACTGTAACTTACCCTACGGGAAGTTAAAAAATTGACGTACTGTCATCTGGTGGCAATTATTTGTAAAAAATTAATGTCAAATATAGATTTCCCTGTCCAAAAAATAGCCATTCAAATATCCCAGTATCCCAGCTATATTTGTTTCATAATTATAAATTATATCGCCTGGTACTATCACTAAGCTGAGTAATATATTACCAAACATTTAGTTTACAATTGAAAATCTGCAGGGCTTCCTGAAAGAAAAATTATTAAGCTTAGTGTAGAGTTTCTATTAATATTTTTCACTCGTTTGTAAGCATATTATCGCAAATATGATTGACATTTTTCACTTTTGTGATGTTCATTTATATTACTTGTTTCACAACCGTTTTGGCGTAATTTAATGGTACAACTTTTTTATGGGGCCATCCATGAATCACGTGATTGACTTATAAAATTTTTTAAAACTCGCTCTGGTGATCTGTTTTGGTTTTTAACATTGCCCTCCTTTCCCACCAAACATCCTGTGCACTTTTATTACCTAAAGAAAATCTCTAGAAATTTATATTTTGTTTTTAAAAATGAGGCAAAAATCTCTACCCTATGTAATATTTTGAGATTTTTGTTTAATATTTTTTATAAATTTGATTAATAGATTGTATCCATATTTGATACATCTTGACCTGCTTAATGTTAAATTCACGCATCTGTTGTACAATATAAAGTCTACAGTAATATCAAAATGGGTCAATCTACCTATTATATTTACTGATACTATATTGACATTGCAAGCTGATAAAAGTTCTGGAGCAATAAAACAATCAGAGGATATAATGTAAACTGTAGAATAGACATTTTGATAACAAAACAATGACCCACTATCACGGCGCCAATATAAAAGTAAAAATGTCGTTCATTTACTTAAAAAGAAGGTTATTTGTGAAAAAATGTAGGACCGATACAATATGCAAAATTTATTTAATTTACAAAAAAATTGTTAATTTTAAGAATGTTTTAAATAATGTTTGTGGAATGCATGATTGAGCAAGTGACAATACATGTAGATAGATAGATAATTAACTAGCTGTAAGTGGAATTCTGTCTTAAGGCAATTAAAGCATCGTGCCTTAAGGCAAATTGCTGGAACTTCCCGTACCAAAAATTATTATTTTTTTAAAAACAATTAACATTTTTGAACAAATTTTACTTCGAAAAAATTAGATTTTTGAGAAACTATAAATTTGACAATAAATTACTTAAAATTTTTTTTTTTTGAAAACAAAATTTTTTTGAAAAAAAAAATGTTTTCTTCATTTTGACATGTTTTGGAAATTCTGAACTTTTTTCAAAGCAATCGTATTGCTTGAATTGCATAGAGACGAAATGTCAAAGCGCGCAAGTGCTGCGCCGCCGTCTAACGCATAAGCATTGGTACGGAATCCATAGAAATGTAAAAAAATTTTATACTCATTGTTAAAATCTCTATAAAATATCTGATAATTTGATGTGCATATGTCTAATGATCATTTTTAACCGCCAAATGGCAATTTTTTTTTTACTTTTTTCATTAGCTCTCCGAAACCGCTAGACCTGCCTTCATGAAAATTTGATCAATTCTTCATTTTGTCAATACAAGTAAAATGTTTTTTGAATTATTAAAATCAGACGCTCCGTTCTCTTAAAAACTGAGTTACCATTTTTGGCATTTTTGCCCCGTATCTTCGGAACGGCTAGACCTGCCTTGACCAAAAACTAATCAGCACGTCTGTTTATCAATACGAATTGAATGTTTTGTTGAATTATTCAAATCGGTTGATTGGTGTTCCCGAAATCGTCGACGAAAATTTGTATCCGCACATACATACATACACGCGCACACACACACACATACATCCATTTTTTCTAAGGTATGCCAGAATATTCAGAAACCTCTGAAACGTAAAGATATATAAAAAATTTCATTTTCGATTTTTTTGCGTTTACTATAACTTGCCCTACGGGAAGTTAAAAACATCTATCAAACCCCTAGGCTAACATGATGCATGGCATTCAACCCGGGTCAATCTTACGTCCTTGTCAGGGCCATTTCATTGAATACGTATTCGAGCACGGGATTTCTACAGAATTCTATGCCGCACTCGATGAATCACGTCCATGGGCCAAAACAAGTCGCAACACGGCGCGATATTCGTTTGCTTGGCTGTCTGTGCGATTATAAAAGTCCCTCTCTCGGAATTCTTATACCCGTTAACAGAGTGACTTCACATACACATGCAGGTAACCGCGCACATTCGGAAATACAGGTGTTACATGATAGTAACATATCGGCGAATGTTGTATCTGTTAAGTTAGTCAGTTGTTCGATGAACGGCAGCTTCATCAGTTGCGAACGAAAACGCTCCGCTTCATCCAAATATATATTAAATCTGTGATAATCGCGACAGTGACGTGCTATTAGCACCTGTTCGTTACGAATTTCTTCGGTGTCAAAATTTGCATGTCGGTTTCGCCTTGCGCATTCACTTCGCGGAGACTATACAGATTTTAGTGCTACACATTTCTTTAATTTCAATATCTGTGTTCCACAATTCAAGTACGTCATTGGACCAGAAAACCTTCAACATGTTCAGTTTAAGCATTGCAAATAAGTTGTCATCGTTCGCGTTGTTATTGTGCTGTGTCTGTGTTTCCTTAGTGTCGTGCGTGCGTTACGATGGTGCTATGAGACCTGACACATATGTGGAATATCAGAATGCTCGTCCTGTGCAGGACGGGCAGGACGGGCAGGACGGGCAGACCAGGGTGTTCACATTCCCGCACGATGGTCAATTTCATGGCGGCGCACCGCTCTACGACTTCACGACTCGTCGACCCTCGTTCGAAGGGAGCAAGCAACCCGAAAGCATGGCTACGGATGCGCCATCATGCTGTGGCTCCGCAAATCAACAGGTAATTAACTCTCGGTCACCTGAGGATAGATACAACAGAACAAGCAGGATAATAGAAATTAATACAACTAGGAACAAAATCAATCAATCAATTCACCAACCAACATAGAATTATCGTATCAAAATTATAATTTTATTATAAATCACAGATTAAAACGATAACACAGGTTTACAAAATAAAAAAAGTTGTCTGTATTGAGTGTGGGGCATATGTTTTGCAATATAGTTTTTACCGCTGAGCACGAATCAAATGTCAAAATTGGGAGTCAAATGGCAAAAAATTGAAAGAAATTAACAAAACCGACAAAATGTCCGATCTAGCAATTCTTCTGCATAATAATCAAAAATCTCATAATTTCTGTCGTTTCCTAGCCCTTTTTACCTTATTAACTTCCAGTAGGGTAAGTTATTGTAATTGTCCAAAAATCGAAATTGAAAATGTTTGCATTTCTCGACGTTTTGAAGGTTTCTGAACATTTTGACATACCTCAGAAAAAATGGATGTGTGTGTGTATGTATGGATGGATACAATTTTTCGGTCACGGTTTCGGACGATTTCAATAGTTCAAAAAACATTCGATTCCTATTGATAGGGAGATGTGCTGATTAGTTTTTGGTAAAGGCAGGTCCAGCAGTTACGGAGATACAGAGCAAAGAGTGCAGATCCGATTTGAATGATATAAAAAACATTCAATTAGGAATGATTGGGAGAAGTGTTTATTAGTTTTTGGCAAAGGCAGGCCCAGCCATTTCAAAGGTACGGAGCTAAATATGTAAAAAATAGCAGTTTTTGAGAGAACTAAGCGTCCGATTTAAATGATTCAAAGAACTTTCTGCTTGTCTTGATAAAATAATTGATTTTGGAAAAAAGAATTTTGGTTCAACTTTTTTTTTTCAAAAAATTTTTATGTATAACGAAAATAATTCAGATTTTATTTTTAATTCTGACTATAGTTCTAATATACTATAAACAAATCATTTCAACTTTGCAATTCAGTTTATATAATTCTTATAAACATTAGACAATGTTACAATATTAATAATAATCTATTTGAAAACATTCAGTATTCCTCGATCATTTCGTTACGGTACGGGAAGTTCCAGCAATTTGCCTTAAGGCACGATGCCATACACCCTACTATTTTTTTTTATTTTGTGGACCTGTATAATTATAATAATAAATAGTATTCTGCTCGAAGGCAGTTCCATAGTATGAGAGCAATACAAATCAATGATTCCCTTCCTTTTTTTTAATCTTAATTCTCATTGCCAATCTATCTTTTATGCACTTCCAAACTTCTGCTTCAATGATTGTAGTTCCTTGTAATAAGTCAAAATCTGCATTCATCTTCTTCCATAATCTAAAAAAAAAAATTATTAAACAAAAACAAATAATAAAAAAAAGTCTTAAGTCCTATTCGACCTTCGACTACATCATGTAGGATGCACTCATTATTTATTGTTGAAACGATATAATAAATAGCGATCGAATGCAAGTTTTGTACAAAGCAAATCATATGAGACGTTAATTTTAAAATTATGGGTAAAATATGATGAATACTATGAATTTATTTTTCGCCATATCTACATGAAAAAATGTCACGTAAAAACTCAAAAATATGTAACTATAATTACGCGAGCGTTTTCAAGTTTTCACTTACTTGAAGTACAAGTATTGTTTCCAGAAATATTGCAGTTTTGAAGAATATTTAAATTGTTAGCCAGCTTTTGATTTTTGTAGTGATATTAATGGTAGTACATTAACAAAGCACATAGAAAAATATTTACATATGAATAAATTTTAAAAATATTTCATATCAAAATTGAAAGTTTTGGAACATAGTCATATATTTTATAAATATGAAATTGGGCAGTGGGCAAATGAAAGTGAGAATAAAAACAAAATATCAAAAGCAAAGTAATTAATATCAGGTTTCAGGAAACTAATTTTAACAATATATGTATGTTAAAATTTTGTATAAATTATATTGAGAATTCTTTTCTGTATTGAGCAAGTTGTATATGTTGATAAGAAAAATTTTACGTCATAAAGCAAAATATGTAAACATTAAAAATTACGCAATGAAAAATTAGTCAGCAGTTCATAGATATTTTAAAATAATTACCAAATGACGATAACACAGTTTGCATAATAAATCAGTCTTAGTAACAAAATTTTTATTAGACCATAAAATAAACTGGAATTAAACCACTCGACAAGGATTTTTTTTTTTAAAAAAAGCGTTTCTATGTCAGACGATTTAAATTATATTCTAGCTTTCTAGCTTCCACAATGCTTAAAACTCTTGTCAGAAACGTATTCAAACGACCTTATTCCAAGATGTACGTGAAGATTTTATTATAAATGTAATGGCGTTATCATATTGTTAACGTACGACAAAACTTATTGAACGATAATAAAGGATATAATTCGGTTTGGTACCGCAAATTTATGAAGGATTTTAAATTATGAAAGATAACAAAGGAAGATATGAAATTTCCTGCTTTTGTTGTGGTTTTTATTGCATTAAGCAACCGTGGAAAACTATTTAATTTCAGAACCGTTGGCTTAATTAGATTTAGTATAATAGCGCAGACTAAGATGCTTGGATGGTGTAAAAGGCTTCAAGAAATTTCAGAGAAAATAAGAAAATTGAAAAAAAAAATCTCACACCATGACATATAGATAAATATAAACTTATTTAAACAAACTACACATACATGTATTCACATAAATGGAAAAAAATTACGCGCACTTATTAGGTGATAAATATTAGTTATTTTCGTTTTTGTCACAGTCATTATTTGCACAGATAACACTCTTCACGGAAAAATGTAATTCTATTTTACGTGTTAAGTTATTTAAATTGTGAACATTTTGGTATAATGAAAAAAAATAAGACTAGATTAATTAACTTGATTCAGCCTGTCGTGGTATAGTATTCATCAAGTAAAAATTAAAAATCTTGTTATATTATAGGCCTACAAGAAGTAGTTTAATTATAAAAATTCATTAGAGTTTTAGTATATGCACAGTATTACGTTCTATATTGTGTACTGATCACCGTTGACGCGATAAAATATATGCGTAAAACATAAATTACAATGAATTTTGAAAATAAATACAAAAACACATACTATAGATTCCAGCGTTTATAAACGTGTACTAGCTCCAACTAGTTCTGGATCCCATCTTCGGCCTACTCGATATCAAGCAGTATAATAAACTTAAAATTTGCACTTAAGGTTATAGATATTGAATATAACTTATAAATGACTCTAGTAACTAGACGTAGATTTTAATACTGATTTTTTTATCGACTAATTCATTTTTTGCAATTTGTTTATATTGAACATGTGCACGACATCGGTTTTAGTAGTGCTAGCGCTCTTTCACAGATAGTTTTTCTAAAGAAAATCTCTTTGAAAAATGTTTTGTTTGAAAATAATTTTGTAGTTTAGCTTTTGTTTTAGCTTTTCATCATCTACAATTTAATAAAAGAACTAATTTATATTTGTTTATCATTCACTCCACAATTAAATGAAAACATTTGTCATATAATTAACTTCCCGTAGGGCAAGTTATAGTAATCGCAAAAAAATCGAAAATGAAAATTTTTATATATCTTTACGTTTCAGAGGTTTCTGAACATTTTGGCATACCTTAGAAAAAATGGATGTATGTGTGTGTGTGTGTGTGTGTGTGTGTATGTATGTGTGTGTGTATGTGTGTGTGTATGTGTGTGTATGTGTGTGTGTATGTGTGTGTGTATGTGTGTGTGTATGTATGTATGTACGTGTGTGTATGTATGTGCGGATACAAATTTTCGTCGACGATTTCGGGAACACCGATCAACCGATCTGAATAATTCAAAAAACATTCGATTCGTATTGATAAGGAGACGTGCTGATTAGTTTTTGGCGAAGCCAGGTCTAGCCGTTCCGAAGATACGGGGCAAAAAGTGCCAAAAACGGTAACTCAGTTTTTAAGAGAACGGACCGTCCGATTTGAAAAATTCAAAAAATATTTTACTTGTATTGACAAGATGTAGATTTGATCAAATTTTCATGAAGGCAGGTCTAGCGGTTTCGGAGATCTAATAAAAAAAGTAAAAAAAAATGCCATTCGGCGGTTAAAAATGATCATTAGACATATGCACATCAAATTATCAGATATTTTATAGAGATTTTAACAATAAGTATAAATTTTTTTTACATTTCTATGGGTTCCGTACCAATGCTTATGCGTTAGACGGCGGCGCGGCACTTGCGAGCTTTGACATTTCGTCTCTATGCAGTTCAAGCAGTGCGATTGCTTTGAAAAAAAGTTCAGAATTTCCAAAATATGTCAAAATGAAGAAAACATTTTTTTTCAAAAAATTTTATTGTTTAAAAAAAAAAAAAAAATTCTCAAAAAAAATTTTTTTTTTCAAATAAAAATTTTTTTTTTTAAAAAAAGTAATTTTTTGTCAAATTTATAGTTTCTCAAAAATCTATTTTTTTCGAAGTAATTTTTTTTCAAAAATGTTATTCGTTTTTGAAAAAATAATAATTTTTGGTACGGGAAGTTCCAGCAATTTGCCTTAAGGCACGATGCCCTAATTGCCTTAAGACAGAATTCCACTTACAGCTAGTTTATCATATTATCATTATCGCGTTTCCCATACAACGCGATACCTGGTTTCCATATACTGGACGTGAAATCAAAGTTTCTTATAGCACGATTTCCATATTACACGGTACGCCACTCACCGCGTTATGGGAGGGTTGCATCGTATTTTTTCTATAATAATTGATTTTTCGAGCGAGAATTATATTATATGAACTGCCAGCGTTTTCGGTATAGTTAAGATGCTATAAATCGTAAGTTTTTTTTTTCATACTTAATAAATATGAAATAAAAATCATTGAAATTAATCACAGATAAGTGTACGGCATTTTATCAATATTTGCACATGTGACAATGTAAATAAAAATAATTTTTCAACGTCATACTGCATT